GGATGGAAAGACTCTGACCTGAAAGAACAGTATCGGAGCAGGCAGTTTTATGGAGAGCAAATTCTGGAGGCTTCCAAGCATAAGCCTGAAGAGAACACATCCATCCATGTGAGCAACAGGTGCTATAGAAACACTCTGGATGCAGACACTGTGTTCTTCGTTCTGACTAACTTGTCTTTAACTTGCTCTCAGCATGATTTCATGGCACCCCTCATTTGCAGCTGCTTTAAGGGTGTAGTTGTGGCAAGCAAGACCTATGGGCCTCTGGTCAGACTAAGACTGTTACTGTATATCATGTGACTGGCCATTTGCCTTTGGCATCTCCAGGGAATGATGAAGCAGACACATTGGCCCAGGTGCGCTGGCTAGAAGGAAAGTCTGCCTCTGATGTGGCCCAATGGCTATACCAGCATTTGTCTCATGCGGGGCAAAAGACAATATGGGCTATAGCCCGTAGGTGGGGCTTGCCATTGACCTTTGAAGAAGTCAGCAGAGCCCAGAAGGAGTGCTACAGCAGAGCCCACTGAGTCCTACAGCAACATTGGACAATAGTAAGGGGGCCAATACCCCTTTTCAGGTGGCAAATTGACTATATTGGCCCTTTGCTCATATCAGAAGGATATCAGTATGTCATGACATGTGTGGACATGGCTACTGGACTACTGGTTGCTTTTCCTGCACTTTGTGCAGATCAGCAAACCGCCAAGAGGGGCCTGGAGTGTCTCTTTGCAGCCTATGGCCAGCCGCAGGTGATTGAAAGCGATCAAGGCACCCACTTTACTGGACATGCATTACAGCAATGGGTGCAGCAATTAAGAATAAAGTGGAAATTTCATGTACCATATGATCCTACTGGGGCAGGCATGATAGAGAGGTACAACGGTTTGTTGAAATCTGGCCTGAAGTTGGACACCAATAGTCTACGGGGTTGGTCAGTTCGCCTATGGACAGTGTTGAGGCATTTGAATGAGAAGCCACATAAAGGAGCCTTGAGCCCTGTGGATATGTTCACACACCTTGCTGCCTCTCCTATACAATTGTACGTCCAAACCAAAGAAGAGTTATTGAAGTCAGGATATGGCCAGCAGAGCAACATCCTGCTGCCAGCCCCTATTGCCTTAAGCTCTATGGAGACATTGTTGAATGGACCTGGCCCTGGACATTTCGACACATGGACCAGTGATGGCTGGCCCTTCTGGCACCTTGGGGGAAAGGCCTGGAAGCTGGCCTCATGTGTATTCCTGGAGTAACAGCAGAGTGGCCCCCAAAGATCATGGTAGCATACTCAAAACGTCCAGGAGGCAAGAGCATCTTGCGGGGAAGTTTTGTTTTATCTTTATGGGCAGTGCATGTACCTCCCATAGCCCTATATATTGACCCATCTGTAACTCCCACAGGAAGGGGGTTGAAAGTCTGGTATACTAGACCAGGACGAGATCCCATTCCTGCCACTGGTTTATCACAGGACCACTCTCTTGCATGTATCCTACCTGATGGACAGGATTTGCCTATGCTGGTGTCATTAAAACATGTATCTCATTGCCCTTAAGGTTATTTTCTCCTACAGTCCTTGTGACCTTAATGTGCCCCCTGGCTGCAGCTGCAGCATCATGATTGCTCTGAACCCTCAGCTACTTGCCTGCCTATGGAATGGACGAGCTATGGACTTAATGTGCATAAGACTTTGAATCTCGCTGAATCCTCTGCCTTGAGGATTGTCATGATTTTATGCTGTTGCTATTGTTATGTCATTAGTCTGGTCACAGTGTTCCAGTTTTCTCGCCCAGGGACCATTGAGGGAGAAGGGGAACGAGTAGGTTGTAAGGCAAGATTTCTGGAGCGGTGGCCTGTGGGTAAAATTCTAACAGTTCCAGAATATCTCACCTGGCTTTAGTTCATTTGCATATTCTCAGGGGTGGACAAAAGTTCATCTCCATATCAATGGGTAATTACCTGGGCAACTGAGGGTGTGTCTGAACCTGAGAATTTAAAGGGAGGGGCTGGCTGGCTTGCTTGCTTGCTTCATCAGGAGCAGAGGAGAGAGACAGCCCTGGACTGCAGTTTGTAAGCAATAAATCGGTTCTAAACTTTATTTCTCCCTTTGACTGATCTTTGTTTATAGAGGTATTTTGTCCTGGGACTTCCTTTCCCCAGACTTACAGGTGTCAAACTGGGCCTCCACCTCAAATTCCTCTGGATGATTTAAAGCTGACAGTCTCACAGGAAGAGAGGCTTTTCCGTCTGGGGCTTTCCGCCAGACCTCATTTCCAAGCAGCCGGCAGTCCTGAAGTGAGGCCCTCCAGCCTGGACTTGTCTGAGAGATGAAGGGCTGTGCCAGCTCTACCTGCCCTGCCCTTGCCCAACCTGTGTATCTCCTCCTGCTGCAGCTGCATCTCCTGGAGCATAGCCAGGAGCTTCCTGCAGAGCCAAAGCCACAGGGGGAGTTGCATGGGGGAACACGCCCTCAGGTTCCCGGGGAGCACTGCAGCCTGCTGGAAAGGTGCTTATCCTCCCTTGGTCTGCAGGACATCCGGTACATGTCCCATAGCCTGTGTGTCCAGGATGGGCTCTTTCCCTTTCTCTCCCCCCGCCTCACCCCCCACCCCAGTATACACAGCCTTAACCTGAGTGTCTCAAATGCTACAGGGGAACAGGTGTGCAGAGAGACTGCTCCAGATAAATGTTTCCTTTTGGTCTCAGCAATGCTGCCCTCAATTTCTAAATTCTGACTGCTGTGCTGATTCAAGGCTTCTTCCTTCAACTGCCAGTGTAGACTCAGGATCTGGACTTCCTGGCCTGGATGTGTGGCTCAAGGGGAGCTGGAATGACTCAAATATACTATCTCCCTCGTGTAGGGCAGCTGTAGGATGCTGCTGAGGCCTGCATTTTTTTCCCCTTCAAGTTGCTATAGCACCTGAAATTCCCACGAATCTTCCAGCACTTTAAGAAGGTAACCCTGTGGGAGGATTAAGATAGCAACTACCAGTGCCTACCTTAAGTGCATCAATTAATCAGAAGTTTCTTCATAATACCCCGCTAAAAGAGACTCCTGGAGGAAGACTTGTTCCTGGAAGATACTAGTTACCTGAGGAGGCGGGGAGAGGTCTGAGCCCTGGGGGAGAACTGCCCAGATGACAAGGATAAGGCTCACTCTTCCTGGGCAGGGCAACTCCCTGCTGTGGCTGAAGGTTCCCTGGAGAGAATGCCCTTGAATTAGTTCCCACGGTGCAGCTCCCAGCCTGGTGGTGGTCTGAGAAAGTCTTCCAAGTGAACTGTAGACTGGTTCAGATTACATGGGTGCAGTTTCTCAACATAATACTCCACCCCCAGTCTCCAAATGCAGCTGCAGTGTTAAATCTGAGGCACCCTGTTCTCGGGGAGGGGTTGCAACATCCTGTGAGCAGCAGCAGCATCGTTATTATAGAACATTTCCCCAGAATTCATGAATTCAGCCTTCGACATTCATTTAGTCAATAAACTTTTATCAAACATCTTTTTTTCATGTACTGTTAGGATAGGAGACAGTAAGAACACAGTGTCCTTCTCTTATTTACCCTAAGAGGGAAAACACATGTGTAAAGCAATAATTAGACAATAAGAAACAATTCTCTAACTACTGACAGAGGAATACAAAAGTGTCATGGGGACATAACCCATGTCTGTGGGTGCCAAGGAGGTCTCCACAGAACGGGTGATTTTTAGCAGAGTTTTAAAGGAATAGTAGTTTACCATGCAGGTGAGAAGAAAGACTTCTTAGGAGGAAAGAGGCAATGAATGATCTACTCTTGGGAACGAGTGGGATGAACTTGCTGAAAGGAACTCCTTCTTTCCTTTATTCAAAAATCAGATTTTCAAAGGAAGCAGCATTGGTTTGAGACATAAAGGATGTATCCCATGTGGACATTCAGAGATGAGGGAAGGGTAGACATCCTAGGTTGGGGGACCCACAGAATCAAAGAAGTGGGCAGTGAGCTGTTCAGTTCAGAGTACAGGAAGAGGAGTAGTTAGGTTGGCACCAGGCCCTCTCTCTGCTGGGCCAAGCAGCCACCTCAGCCTATCAGTTCTACCTTCTGACTGCAGTGAACCAGGGGCTGGGTTCAGAATTCAGGTCTTACTGGTTGTGGGGAAGTTGGGGTTCCTATGGGCGTGATCCTCACTGAACTTAAACCACCTGATGATGTAACTAGCCTGTTGCTAGGCTACCGCTTCCACACCTTTAGGCAATAAGCTATTATTGCGCTATATAGAGAGCTCAGCCCAGTGCTCTTGGGGGGGAGGTAGAGATGCCAATGCTCGACCTACCACTGGGAGAACAAGCCGGGTAATAAACCCTTTCACCCCAAAGAATGCTTTGTTGTCAATTTCTTTGGTCACATTGAATGCATAGTGAACTTGCCGGGGGGCTGAAACCCATTGGCAAGACACTGGTCCTCTGCTGTCAGTCATTGCCCCTGCTCAGTTCCTTCAGGCCCTCATCATCTTTGTTCCTTTTCTTTTCACCTGGTCTGCCTGCCTCTGGCTTCTTCCCCTTTCAGTTCATTATCCATACCACCATCAGGGTTGTTTTCCTAAAATGCAAGTTTTCGTTGTCATTTTTCTGCATGACATATCTCAGTGGTTCACCCTTATTTCAGGAACATCCCCAACCCTTGAAATGGTCTATGTATAAGGCCCTTTGGGATCCACCCCTGCCTACCTCCCTAGCTCTGTATCCACTGCCACCACCTTGCACCCTGCATCAGATACACCAAACTACAACCATGCTGTGTGGTTTCATGCCCTCAGGCTTTTGCATATGCTGTTCCCTCTCCTTGGAAGACCCCTATGCATCTTGTCCTCTCAGCAAACTTGTAGTCATCCTTTAAACATGAACACAAATAGCTCCTCCCTCAACCTTCCCAGAGTTAATCACTGCTAATACTTATTTCTATTTCTATTGTTACTCTTATTACTGTGCTGCTGGGATTAGCTCTTCACCATAGGCTTTTCAGCCAGATGCTGAGCAGCGTTAGGGCAACTGAGTCTCCTTCATTTTTACAACTCTGGTGCCTAGCAAAGAGCTGGGCCATCATGGAACAAGATGGAACAGTCAGCCGAGTCAAGCTCTGCCAGGGTACAGGGGCTCTCAGTCCTAGCCTCCCATGTCAGTCACCTGGGAAACTGTAAAAATACCCATGTCTGGGCCCCACCCCAGGCCAGTTAAACCCGGATCTCTGGGGGTGGGATTGTATGTTGTTTTTTTTTAAGCTGCCAGGTGATTCTACTGTGAAGCCAAGCTTAAGAACTACTGAGGAGGTGAAGTGGAGGAACCTGAGAGTCAAGAGACCTGAATCCTACACTCTACCGCTGAGTCATTGCACAGCTTGGCAAATCAGTTTTTCCTCTGGCCTCATTTTCTCGTCTGTAAACTGGGAGTCCTGAACCAGAAGATCTCTAAGGACCATGCCACATCACAGAGCCGTCTTGAGATGTCAGCAAGCGTTTCCAGGTTAGAGCACTGTACTGGGGCTTGACTCTGCTTTTTATGTGACATTGAAGGAATGGACTGCTTGTGGCTCAGCTTCTCCTGTTCCTCCCTCCTTCTCCTTCTGCCCTCCCTTCCCCACTGGGGCTGGGGATTTTCTGTAAGCCACCCTTGGGAAGAAGGTAGGAGCAGTTCTGGCAGCCATCAGACTCCTGAATGATTTCACATCGTGGATCTCAAAAGAGATCTGAAGCCATGGTCTGGGGCTGCACTCGCGACACTGGAGATGATTTCTATCAGGAATGAATGGGCTGTACCTATTGTCTTTTCTTTTCAAAATGACATGCTGCCCTTCTGTGAGCACATGTAGGCATACATAATTAAAGTGTTAACAGGAAAAAATAAGTATAAATGGTGCTTCCCTTGTACTTTGCTGACTGATCTGGAGGAGCAGGACTTTGAGTGGGAAACTCCACTGCTCTGAAATCTGGGTTTCTCAGTTAGGCAGATGGAGATTCTCCAACATTTAGTTACTGGGAACACAAGCAGCCCCTTGGAATCCGTGCCGTTCCTGCCCTCGCCGTCCAGTGTGCCCTGATCACAGATGAGACTCTGTCTTATAGTAAGGAGCCCAGACAGAGCCCTGGTGCCTCCATTTTCATCAAAAATAAATCATGTCAGTCTGTCCCTGCAGTCAATAGGAATTTGATGTCTTGCAAATAGCAGCAGCTCTGACTTGAGCAGACACAGCCCATTATCCTGCCATCTGTTGTGTCCTGGTTTCCATATAGGGATGATCAAAAGAGGGTTTTCCTGAAAGCTTGCCGCTTTGGGTGCAGAGGAAAACACACTGCCTTTAAAAGATTAAACTGGCTCTCTTGGATTAAATAGCGTGAGATCAGTCTTGGGTTCATAGCTGAGTTTTCCCACTTCAAGTATTTTGTATTCTCCATGATGACCTAGGGAGAGGGAACAAAAACCATTTTTCTTTCTCAGTTGTCTGCATTTTTAAGGATTATCAGTTCCTAAGCCTGGTTGCATCCTTGAATCTTCTGGGGAGCTTTGGAAATATACTGATACTGAAGTGCCGCCTCCTTCCAAGGTTCTGATTTTAATTGGTCTAAGGTAGGGTCCAGGCTCCTATAACTTTGAAAAGTTACCTAAGTGATTCTAATATGTAGTCAGGGGGAGAACCACTGGACTAAGCATCGTGAAGCTTGGGCTGCCCTCACTGTATGAAAATAATCTGCAGAGGTTGCACATGTTTCTGTGAATGCTTTTTCCAAATTCAACATTTGTTGCAATCTGGTGGGTAGACACCATGTGGGACACAAAGATGAACATAGACAGGTCCTTGCCTTCCAGAAATTATAATTTAGTTTGTTTTTTTTTTGTATCTTACTGTCATTGGTGTCTGTTATTTAAAACATCTAAAATCTTAAAAAACAGCAAAAATACCCCACAATCAGATGCACAAATTGCCTTGTGGCTATTTGGCAAAATTTCCATAAGTATTAAAATGTGTATACTTTCTGCTCAAGAATTTCCACTTGTAGATACTTATACTGAAGACACTATTAAGGGTGTGCACAAGGATGTTTAACAGAAAGAACATTGTTTATTCCAGGGAGATGTTAGAAGTTCAAGGGGATTGGTTAATAAAATGGTGAAACATCCATATCTTCTAGAACACTGTGCATAATTAAAAATGGTCATGCAGAAGATTTTTAATAGATTTGGGAAAATCTTCACAATATACTGAGTGAAAAAACCTTCTAGAGCAAGATGTCTGATGTGATCCTATTTAAGTAAAAGAATCATTATATACTTACAGGAAAAAAAAGCTGAAATGGAGACATACTGAAGTGTTAACAGGAGGTATCTTTGGGCTATGACACCTCAGGTGATTTTACTGTTTGTCTTAGGAAGACCATAAAAGTGGATCTTGAATGACTAAGTAAGGTTGGCCACTTTTGGGAGTCAGAGTTCTCTTAACAGAGTAAAATTCATCACTGTTGATGCATTGTAGTATGAAACAGCTGAGATCCCATTTGAAACACAACTTTCTCCTTGCTAGACTGGGGGTGGCCTTGCCCTTCTCCTCCCCGCAGTGCAGAAGTATGAGGTCATGGGCTGCCTTGCAGCATGAAGGACCACTGCTGTGAACAGAGTGGCTTCAGGATTTCAACACAGGAGGGCTTAGGGCAGGATGGGAACCTTATCCCGAGGCTGCTAACACCCTCTTCCTTAGATTGTAGCCTTTAGGTAGATCAAAAGAGGAAAAATGTTGTTTTTACAGATATCTCTATCACATTTTCCATAAGATTGTGAAAATATTAACTGTCTTTGTTGAAGACTGTCCCTATTATTCTCATGATTTGGAGGCCTGAGAGAAATGAGAGATTGTGTCAGTCAGGGCCCAAGGAGGAAATCAGAAATCACCCAGAGTATTTAAATAGAGGGAAGTGAATAGGGGAAATGGGTTACAAAGTGTGGCAGATGAGAGAAGCCAACCGGGGACAAGGAGACAACTGGAAGGTTAACAGCAGTTAGATATCACTGCCATCCTTGGCCTGGAGGATGAGGGAAGGGGTGAGGAGGATCTCCAGCACCCAGAGGCAGGGGTCACCTCAGAAACAATGGTGCACTTTTATCAACACAGTACTACCCCAGCTTCCTCCTTTCTCCCGCATTCCAGTCTTCTCCCAGTGCCTCCCACTGGCCAAACCCAGCTGTCAGTCAGTGATGCAGGAGCCTCCAGAGCAGGGCAGGGGAAGTGGGAGGAATGGGGCTGAGGTCATTCATGCCAGGACTGTGTTACATAAATGAGCCAAAGATGACCTCTGTGTGTTGATCCCTGGAGGGTTTATTCACTGCAGACTGGACCCATTAGGCCAAAGTCAGTCAGCACCAAACTCAAATTATACATCCAATTACTTAAAAATAGCCCAAACAAGCAGATTTCTTTTAGTCTTTTAGAGTCTGTCTACTTTGCTTACTTTGTGAGACCTCACCTGGCATCTGTTGGCCATTGATAAGATAGAACCTTGTAGTCAAATGCCCCAAGGTGCTATGCCCTTTGGAATTCTCTAACCTAGACACCCTGCCATACTGCTGAGCAACATCACCTAGACACATGAACCTCCCTCTCCTCTGCCCCCTTCCCAGGCTCTCCTCCCTTCTGGATGGTGGGCCCTCATCATAAATCTCTGGACAATCTCCCCCTCTCATGTAGCCCTGTCCAAGCACTGCTCAATAAATGCTGCATGTTACTACCTCCAGTGGTCATAGCTTTCTCCTTAACCAGCCCCAAATTCCTGGAACCCTCTACAGACTAGCAAACAGATTATAGAAGGAAGCTAAAGCTCTTCTAGTCACCCTTTGGAGTCCCTTCTGGTGGCAAAGAATGAATGACATACTAATACACTGATAGGAAAAACATAAATGATAAGGGCATAGATTTTACTGATTTCCTCATTAAATTGAACTGTTAAGAATTGCCAGTATTTGTCTAGTTTTGACTCACAAAAATGGCAATTCTTTGGAGTGGTCCTCTGTGCATCCTACCAATCTCTGACACCTGTTGCTATCCCATTCATTCATTTATCCATTCCAGCATGACTTACTGTGCTCCCACTTGGTGTGGCAGGCCTTTGCTTACATGTGTCTTTATGAGTCTCCTTTTCAGTACAGGCTCTATCTTTCCTTGCCTAGGAGATTGCTTGCAATCTCTGCGGTGCCCCCAAATAACAAGGAAGATATAGTTAAAATGCAGATTCCTGGGTTTCTCCATCGAATTGAAGTTCAGTAGATCTAGGGTATAGCTAAAATGATGCTTATTCAATTTAAGCATTCAGGGTGTTCTGAGACAGGCTGGGTGTTTCATGCCCTTCAAGAGATGCTACTCTTGTTTGTCTCCCATAGTGCTGCCAGAGTGATCTTTCTAAAAGTAATTCTGTGCCACTCCCCAGCTTGAAATGCCATAACATTTCCCTGTTGACTATGGGATGAAGCCCAAATTCCTCAGCAAGCAGGAAAGACCCACAGTGATTGGCTCCTGCCCACTTTTTGGGTTGTCTATATGCCTCTTTACTTTCCGGAGAACCCACTCCTGTTCTGCTGAATATTCACTGTTCCCCAAACACCCACCGCTGTGCCTGAAACTTGTCTATTCTGGTCCATCACTTTTAAACCAGACCAAGCCACCAAGTGGCCACCACCATAAACAGAAGCCTTGGAGTCTTCTAGGTCTCTGCTCTCTGCCTGTTCTGCCTGGCTTCTGACCCTTTGACTTTGTTGCCAACTAACCTGGACTTTGTCAGCAGTGACCTCCCTGCTCCCTAAAGGGCTTGGCCAGCACTCCTCCTTGGCTCTCCCTGCTTTTTGTTTAGCATTGACTTTGAGGTTCATGGCCCTGGACGGGCTCATTTTGGCTCCTGGTGAGCAGGGATTCAATAGCACTTGCTTTTCCCTTTCACCCGGAATGCCCTTTCCTCACTTCTCAGCCAGAGAGTCTCAAGACTTAGCTTAAAAGGCAGGTCATCAAAGATACCCTTTCCAATGTTCCCAGGAAGAATTAGCCACTCCTTTCTCTGGCTCTCCTGTGATTCTGAGCACACTTGGAACTGCCTTTATCACATTACTGGTTTACACAGCAACCTCCCTCTTGGGGCCAGGGACTTTGCTTACTAGACCTGCTGCTGTGCCAGGGATTCAGTGAGTGCTTCCTAAATGCTTGTGCAGTGAACAGGGACTTTCTGTCTTCCATTCTGCCTCAGGTTAACAGCCTGGGTTTCACATGGTGGGTACCTAGGGGATGTGAACTACAAATTGCACCATCAGTTCAGAAATGTGCAAATCAAAACAAGCAAACAAAGTAAAGTTTAGAAATGTGTACATCTCAGTGAGGCTGTGGTTCCTTCTTCTTGGGCTGGGTCATTCAAACCTCTTAGGTGAATTTCTGGCCTGGTTGCTCATGGTGACCTTATTAATTATTTTACATGCTGCACACTTTAACATTCCTG